CGACATCCTCCATACAGTCCAGATTTAGCACCGTCTGACTTCCATCTGTTCCCGATAATGAAAGAAGATCTGTGAGGACATCATTATGCTTCTGATGAAGATGTTGAGAGAACTGTGAGATGCTGGTTGTGGAAAAAGAGTGTCAACTTCTTCCATGACGGCTTCATCGTTGGCAGAAATGTATCCAATTGTCTGTTGATTATGTGGAAAAGTGAATAGCCGTAGTTAAAGAGCACATTCTAAGGTTTATTTCTGCATTTGATTTATTAAAATATTCCCATCCAAACCCAAGTAACGAAGGTGGAGGCATTACTTTTCATTCAACCCTCGTGTGTGTTTGTGTGTGTGTGTATATATACACACACACACACACACACAATTTACTTAATTCCTATCCTGCTCTTCTCACTCTGTGGGAACGCTAAATTTTATTTAAATGTATTTATTGTTTCAGAAGCAAATTGAGGCCCCTTCCACACAGCTGAAGAAAACCCCCCATTTTCTGCTTTGAAGTGGGATATATGGCAGTGTGGACTCAGATAACCCAGTACAAAGCAGATATTGTGGGATTTTCTGCTTTGATATTCTGGATTTTATGGCTGTGTGGAAGGGCCCTGAGAATAGTTATAATGGTGACTTGCAGGATACTGTAAATAAGTGTATATAGATCCAAACTCATAATCCAGAAGCTGTTCCAATCGCATTGCATTCACTTCGTAGCTGCACATAGCCCTGTCCTACTCTCCAGTCAGGTTTTAACTTGCTTTGTAAAGGACAGGGGGAAGATGGAGAGACTCCCTGCGGAAAGGTCCAGGATTCCCAAGGATGTTGCCGGGGAGGTGCCTATAGTGGATCCACAGCTTTGTTTGTTTGTTGTTTATTTGTTCAGTCGCTTCCGACTCTTTGTGACCTCATGGACCACCAATGCCAGAGCTCCCTGTTGGCCGTCACCACCCCCAGCTCCTTCAGAGTCAAGCCAGTCACTTCAAGGATACCATCCATCCATCTTGCCCTTGGTTGGCCCCTCTTACTTTTTCCTTCCATTTTCCCCAGCACCATTGTCTTCTCTAGGCTTTCCTGTCCTCTCATGATGTGGCCAAAATACTTCATCTTTGCCTCTACTATCCTTTCCTCCAATGAGCAGGCTTTCCTCCAATGAGCAGGCTTTATTTCCTGAAGTATGGACTGGTTGGATCTTCTCGCTGTCCAAGGCACTCTCAGAACTTTTCCCCAACACCACAGTTCAAAAGCATCTATCTTCCTTCGCTCAGCCTTCCCTATGTTCCAGCTCTCACATCCGTGGATGACTATGGGGAATACCATTGCTTTTACTATGCTTTTACTATGTGGATCTTCATTGTCAGTGTGATGTCTCTACTCTTCACTATTTTATCAAGATTGGGCATTGCTCTCCTCCCAAGAAGTAAACGTCTTCTGATTAATTGTTGTTATGCTATTGTTTTTAAATGTTCTAATGGTTTTGTAATTGCTGCTGTTAACCACTTTGAGTCGCCTAAGGGCTGAGAAAAGCGGTATATAAATGAAGTAAATAAATATATAAATAAATTTCCTGGCTGCAGTCTGCGTCTGTAGTAATCTTTGCACCTAGAAATACAAAGTCTGTCACGGCCTCCATGTTTTCTCCCTCTATTTGCCAGTAATTGATCAGCCCAGTCACCAGAATCTTGGTTTTTTTTATGTTTAGCTGCAACCCAACTTTTGCGCTTTCTTCTTTCAGCTTGATTAGAAGGCTCCTCAGCTCCTCCTCACTTTCAGCCATCAAAGTGGTGTCATCTGCATATCTAAGGTTGTTAATGTTTCTTCCAGCAATTTTCACCCCAGCCTTGCATTCGTCAAGTTCCAAACATCGCATGGTGTGCTCTGCATACAAGTTGAATAGCAAGATGGAGTGGATGAGGGATTAAGAGGACATCCAACCCCAAATTGGGAAACAAGTTGTCCAGGAATACCTGGTCGCTCTTAATGAGTTCAAGACCAGATCAACTACACCCAAGAGTATTGAAGGAACTAGTGGAAGACTTCTCGGAACCATTGGCAATCATCTTTAGCCTGAAGAAGAGTAGGCTGAGAGGCGATACGATAGCCATGTATAAATATGTGAGAGGAAGCCACAGGGAGGAGGGAGCAAGCTTGTTTTCTGCTTCCCTGGAGACTAGGACGCAATGAAACAATGGCTTCAAACTACAAGAGAGGAGATTCCATCTGAACACGAGGAAGACATCCTGACTGTGAGAGCCGTTCAGCAGTGGAACTCTCTGCCCCGGAGTGTGGTGGAGGCTCCTTCTTTGGAGGTTTTTAAACAGAGGCTAGATGGCCATCTGTCAGGGGTGCTTTGAATGCAATATTCCTGCTTCTTGGCAGGGGATTGGACTGGATGGCCCATGAGGTCTCTTCCAACTCTATGATTCTATGTTGCGTGAGAGTATACAACCCTGCTGCACGCCTTTCTCAATCTTGAACCAGTCCATTGTTCCGTGGTCAGTTCTTACTGTTGCTACTTGGTCCTTGTACAGATTCCCCAGAAGAGAGACAAGGTGGCTTGGGATGCCCATCCCACCAAGAACTTGCCACAGTTTATTATGATCCACACAGTCAAAGGCTTTAGAATAGTCAATGAAGCAGAAATAGATACTTTTCTGAAACTCCCTGCCTTTCTCCATTATCCATGTATTTACCTAATTTTTCCAGTTTTCTTTTCCAGGCCTTCCCATCTCTGGGCAAAACCACACAAAACGTAGAGAGGATGTGTTTTGTCAGCTATAGTTAACTGATCCTGCAGATATGCCATTTGTACTGTGCACACTATTTTAAAACTTCATGGTTTTTGAAATTTCAAACTGTGTGGATGAGTGCTTCTTTGCCAAAGGTGCTCAAAATTAGAGATTCAGTGTTTCAATACTGACAAGCAGGGCCGTAGCCAGAAAATTTTTTTGGGGAGGGTTGACAATTTTGGGGGGGGGGGGTTGAAAATTTCAGGGAGGGTTGAAATGGGGAGTGGGGTTGAAACCTGCCTCCTAGCTCACGCTGAAGCAAAGAGCACAGCAGGGGGCAGAGCAGCCTTCCATAGCCTGCAGCTCCGCCCCTGTCAACCACCTCCACCAAGTCTGGCCTCCTTAATGAGAGCATTCAACACACACATCCCCAACTTGGTTGCTTCACTACATCGGCTATTGCTGCAAGTCATGACAGTGTGAATAAATTGTCAATATTTGCTTGAGATAGTGCTTACAGTTCTGGAACAGTTCTGCTTACAGCTCTCATAGACTTAGCATGAGGATTTGGTTAACCAGTTAAAATTCATGAGTAAACCAAACCAGGTTTTTTAAAAAAATCTGAAACATTTGGGGGTGGGGGTTTCAACCCCTAAAACCACCCCCTCGCTACAGGCCTGTTGACAAGTAATCGGATTTGATGGAAATACCAAATTACATCATATACACTGTATATCGGAGCCCCTGGTGGCGCAGTGGGTTAAAGCACTGAGCCGATGAACTTGTTGATCGAAAGGTCGCAGGTTCGATTCCGGGGAGCGGCGTGAGCTTCCGCTGTCAGCCCTAGCTTCTGCCAACCTAGCAGTTCGAAAACATGCAAATGTGAGTAGATCAATAGGTACTGCTCCAGCGGGAAGGTAATGGCGCTCCATGCAGTCATGCCGGCCACATGACCTTGGAGGTGTCTATGGACAACGTTGGCTCTTTGGCTTAGAAATGGAGATGAGCACCACACCCCAGAGTCAGACATGACTGGACTTAATGTCAGGGGACTACCTTTACCTTTACCTTACACTGTATATCAAAGATGATACAGTTATGGCATTTTGGAAAATCAGTTCCTTTAAAACACTACAAATCACAGGTATCAATACCAATGCCCTGCCTTTCTCCATTATCCAGCGGATATTGGCAATTTGGTCTCAAGCCACGAGAGTAAAGATGAAGATCCACCCAGAGGAAAAGTGTTCCTGCCATACATCAAGGGAACCACTGATCGCATAGGGAAGCCGATGAGGAAACACAACATACAAACAATCTACAAACCCACCAAGAAAATCCAACAAATGCTACGTTCAGCAAAGGACAAGAGGGATCCTCTCACCTCTGCAGGAGTCTACCGTATACCATGCAGCTGTGGACAAGTCTACATAGGGACCACCAAACGCAGCATTGCCCAAACACGAATATGAAAGGCACTGCAGACTACTTCAACCAGAGAAGTCAGCCATAGCAGAGCACCTGATGGACCAGCCTGGACACAGCATATTATTTGAGAACACAGAAATGCTGGACCACACCAACAACCACCATGTCAGACTACACAGAGAAGCCATTGAAATCCACAAGCATGTGGACAATTTCAACAGAAAGGAAGAGACCATGAAAATGAACAAAATCTGGCTACCAGGATTAAAAAACTCAAAAATTATAACAGCTAAACAACAGAGAGGAAAAAACCAGGCACAGATTAACACCTCCCAGCAACAGATTTTCCCAGACTCAGGCAGGCCTTCAAATGCTAATGAAGGTGATCAGCTAAACATTCACACCTAACTGCAGCAGGGAAGAGCTCCTTGCCCCACCCCAGCCATTCCACAGATATATAAGCCCATTTTTCCTACTTCCAACAGACCTTCTCAACCTCTGAGGATGCTTGCCATAGATGCAGGCGAAACGTCAGGAGAAATGCCTCTAGAACATGGCTCTATAGCCCGAAAAAACCCACAAGAACCTAATTTGGTCTCTCCTTCCTCTGCCTTTTCTAAACCCAGCTTGTACGTCTGGCAACTCTCTCTCCTACTGCTTTGTAGGAGGCTCTTTATATGAAGTTGGGGAGGGGGGAACCACATTCAGGAAGACATCTAAAGAGGAATCTTCCCCTAGTGGCAAGACCTCGAGGCAACCTCGCGGGGCGGGGCGAAGGGGCGGCGCGAGCGCGCACCCAGTGAGCCAAGCCCCGCCCCTGCCTGTTGGGCGCGAGCGCGGCTCCCGATTGGCCGGCGCGCGGAGGCCGGTTGTCTCTTTAAGGCGCCTCTCTCTCCCAGCTGTGTTGCAGGAAGTGCCAGGAGGAGGAGGAGGAGGAGGAGGGCGCAGGAGCCGAGCCTGTCTCCCGGGGAGGGGATTCCTGCAGCGCCGGCTCTGCCTCCCTGGCCCGCCTGAGATGAGACCATCCTCAGCGGGGTGGGCATGGCATCCTTCCGGACTTTCGCCCAGGCGGGGCCCAGGGACGGCGAGGAGGACGGCATTGGCGTCGGCGACCTGGATCGCTCGCTCCAGCAGATGCTGCGGGCCATAGCCGAGGAGAGGAGCCGCCTCAGCATCCGCCACGAGATCAGCGGCCTCGGTGAGGGGATGGGGAAGAAGGGGCTGAGGGAGCAGCAGCAACAGCAGCCTGGGCGGCCTCGGCGCCTCTGCCTGGGCCCTCAGATCGGTTGCATGGCGGGCCTGAGCTCGCCCCCCAGAATACCAAAAGCCACTTCCAAGGCACTTCCTCTATTCCCTGCCATAGGCCCTCTGCACTTCCTCAAGGGCACATGCTTGTGCCTAGCACCCACTTCCTGGGCTCCTTTACAAAGAAAAGAGGGGCCTTTTATGGCCTGCTTCCCCTCCTCACCTCCCAAAGAACCAGGCATCCTTCTACTAATAATATTATTTGAATATTATATATTACTTGTAAAATTACTAATAATATTGTAGTATAGTGATATAGTACAATATAGTAATATAGAATACTAATACTGTGCTCTCTCTCTCTCTCTCTATATATATATTACTAGCCGTCCCCTGCCACGCGTTGCTGTGGCCCACATGGAGGTTCTGTGTGGGAGGTTTGGCCCAATTCTGTCGTTGGTGGGGTTCAGAATGCTTTTTGACTGTAGGTGAACTATACATCCCAGCTACTACAACTCCCAAATGTCAAGATTCTATTCCCTCCAAACTCCACTAGTGTTCACATTTGGGCATATTGAGTATTCTTGTAGAGTTTGGTCCAGATCCATCAGTGTTTGAGTCCACAGTCATCTTTGGATGTAGGTGAACTACAACTCCAAAAGCAAAGGACAGTGCCCACCAAACCCTTCCAGTATTTTCTGTGTGCCAAGTTTGGTTCAATTCCATCGTTGGTGGGGTTCAGAATGTTCTTTGATTGTAGGTGAACTATAAATCCCAGCAACTACAACTCCCAAATGACAAAATCAAATTTTTTTTAGTGAAGGACATACATTGGGTTGTTGTGTCCAAATTTGGTGTCAATTCGTCCAGTGGTTTTTTAGTTCTGTTAATCCCACAAATGAACATTACATTTTTATTTATATAGATTATAATGTAATACAATATAATACTAATAATATAATAATAATAAATTTATTTATATCCTGCCCCCTCTCCCAATATAATACTACTACTACTAGTGTGTGTGTGTGTGTGTGTGTGTGTGTGTATATATATATATATATATGTCGTGTCAGGAGCAACTTGAGAAACTGCAAATCACTTCTGGTGTGAGAGAATTGGCCGTCTGCAAGGACGTTGCCCAGGGGACGCCCAGATGTTTTTATCATTCTTGTGGGAGGCTTCTCTCATGTCCCTGCATGAGGAGCTGGAACTGATAGAGGGAGCTCATCCGCACTCTCCCCGGATTCGAACCTGCAACCTGTCGGTCTTCAGTCCTGCTGGCACAGGGGTTTAACCTACTGCGCTAATACTAATATAATAATAATAACAATAAATTTATATTCTGCTCCTTCTCCCAATATAATACTACTACTAATAATAATATTACAATATTAAAGGTATTTATTTATTTGCTACATTTATATACTGCCCCTCTCAGCCCAAGGGCGACTCGGAGCGGTTAACAATAGGCAACAATTCGATGCCAGAGCCGATACAACAAAGTAAAACAATCATTAATACTCTAAAATACTAACCACACTATGAAAACATAAAAGTCATATTTATTTATTTATTTATTTACACAATTTCTACCCCACCCTTCTCACCGCCCGAGGGGGGACTCAGGGCGGCTAACACAGGCAGCAATTAGACGCTACAATATCAGTAACACAATGTAAAAATCATAATGTATAACAAATTAAAACAATTACAATCAATTAAAATCACATGATCACATAATCACATTAGTCACAAAGCCATTTCCAATTGTCGTAACAGTTCTATAGTCCGGGTTCAGTGTCTAAAGTGCTGCTGTGCCCACTAGCCAAAGGCCTGGCTCCGAAACTACGCTTTTAGTTTTTTCCTAAAAGAAAGGAGGGAAGATGCTGATCTGATCTTGCTGGGGAGCGAATTCCACAAGCGGGGGGCCACCACTGAGAAGGCCCTGTCCCTTGTCCCCACCAGACGTGTTTGCGAGGCTGGTGGGACCGAGAGCAGGGCCTCCCCAGTAGATCTTAAATTTCAAGGTGGAACATAGAGGGAGATACGCAACATTTAAAAGCGTCTCCGTTTCAGATCATCATTCAGTTGCGTCGTCAGTTGTTCATAATATCATATATCTATGCCATATTCGGGAAGGCCTGTTTGAAAAGCCAGGTTTTCACCATTTTTCGGAAGGACAGAAGGGGGGGGGGCAATCTTATCTCTCTAGGTAGGGCAATTTCACCCTGCCCCCACTCCCTAAAAAGATTTGGGGTGACTTACAAGGCAGCAGTAGTGCAACACAGAACAGATAAAATACAACAAAAATTAGGCAAAATCAATAAACAACACCAAATAACATAAAATAACAACATATAGGGATTAACTTAAAATACCTCAACCAATGCAAAATCTATATAAATAAAAATGTAATGTTCGTTTGTGGGATAAACATAACTCAAAAAACACTGGATGAATTGACACCAAATTGGGACACAAAACATATCAGGCCAATGAGTGACCATCACTCATAAAACACCAAAAAACATAGCAAAAGAGACTTAGAAAGCAAAATAAATAAATAAAATACAACGCGTGCGCAAAGCCACATATATACACAAACACACAGATATACACAAATACACACACAGATATGCATATAGACACACACAAAACATATATACACAGACTGGGCCACAGCAACGCGTGGCAGATGACGGCTAGTAACCAATAAAAACACAAAATAAATTGCAGTTTAAAAGTGTGCTGTACAAACCAATTTAGCATCCCAACCACAAAATAGATAAAAGTTCCAGCATTAAAATGTCAAGGTAAAACTTCATTCTCTTTAGTTCATCCTGTTTAGATGATACATTAGCCATTATCAAATGCCTGCTTGAATAGCCATGCCTTCAGCTCCTTCCGAAAGGATTGAATTGTCGAGGCTTGCCTGATCTCCCTGAGGAGGGCATTCCAAAGCCAGGGGGCCACAACTGAAAAGGCCTTCTCCCTCCTTCCCACCAGCCGTGCTTGAGATGGGTATGGGACCAAGAAGAGAACCTCCCCAGCAGATTTAATATATTAAATATAATTACTGCTGATAATCTATAATAACATATAATGATATACTGTATTATTATTGAATTGTTGTATATTTTAAACTATAATGTTTTTGATGTTTATGTTTTGGCCCCCTGGTGGCACAGCTGGTTGAACCTCTGAGCTGCTGATCTTGCTGTCTGAAAGGTTGGCAGTTCAAATCCCCAGCTTCTGCCAACCTAGCAGTTCGAAAACATGCAAATGCGAGTAGATCAATAGGTACCACTTCTGCGGGAAGTTAACGGTGCTCCATGCAGTCATGCCAACCACATGACCTTGGAGGAATCTTTGGACAATGCCGGCTCTTCGGCTTATGGAGATGAGCACCACCCCCCAAAGTCGGACAAGAGAAAACCTTTACCTTTACCGTTTTTGATTGTGACTTACTTTGAGTCCTCGTATAAAGATAGAGCAGAATATATATCTCTCCCAGAGGGGACTCAAAGCGGCTTGACGTAAAAAGGTTGGTACAGCATTACAAAAATACAAATATTAAAACAGAATTAAATGTAAACAGTGTTAAAAGATTCACAGTTAAAACCATTCAAACGTATCTGATGCGTGTTCAAAGCTAAAAATCACAGCACCCCCTGAACTGGTCTTAAAAACAAATGTCAGCAGTTACTATTGACATTTGGTACTCAGGCTAGGTTTGAATCAGCTGTGTCCAGCACGACTTCTTGCTAAAGTTTAAATGGTGCATTTAAATGGTTCATTTAAATGGTTCATTTAGGTAATAATAATAATAATAATAATAATAATAATAATAATAATAATAATAATTTTATTTCTTAGCTCTCCTCATGGCGGGTTACAGTGTAATTAGAACTTGTAAACATTGTAAAAATTCTAGGAACACATATAATCATTATTATAATTACTTATATCCCATGTTTTCTCTCCATATGAAGACTGAGGACCCTTCCAGACCCCTTCCACTCAGCTGAATAAAATCCTACATTATCTGCTTTGAACTGCAATATATGGCAGTGTGGACTCAGATAACTCAGTTCAAAGCAGATATTGTGAGATTTTTGTGCCTTGATATGGGTTGTATGGCTGTGTAGAAGGGCTCTATATGGCAGGTTTTCTGTTTATTCAGATCCAGGGATATGGGCCTGTCTGGAGGGGTCCGCAAAGCAGCTCACAACTAAAAGTATTGCAATACAACTAAATAAATACTATTATATTTATTTATTATTATATGTATTCAGACCCCACTGAATAAATATAATAATAAATAAATATAATAGTATTTTAATACTATTATATTTTATCTCCCCACGTTATCTCCCCAAAGAGGACACAAAGCAGCTTGACATCAAGGCATTAATATACAATTTAAAATATACAGAAATGCAAACATGAAAATAGAATTAAACACAAGCAACATCAAAAATGTATACAAATCTACAAGTGTTAAAACGGTATTGAACATCATTAAAAACATATAAAATCACAGCAGCCCCTGATGATCTCTGAAATCTTCTTCTTTAAAAGCCTGTCTGAATAAAATAAATAAATTGTAGATATATTAAAATGTATTTCTATAAAAATACAGATTAAATCATATTTCTATAAAATATGTATCAAAATACATATAACATTCCCTTTGATCTTCTGGACTAACTAAGTCATAATAGCTGTTATCCCTTTGTTTTCAACTTGCAATCTTCTGTCTCTTCATCAAGGTGTATTGGCCTGGCAAGTGCCAGGCATTATGCTTCAGGACTAGCTAAGCCAGGCTCCATCCTTTTGAGTGGGTTACCTGAGGTTGCTGGGCAGTGAGTTGCTATTAGGCCTGATGTCAAAATAATCACACAATTCTAGGCTCATTCTGTCCTATGGCTGATCTATTCGTATTCTTTC